GAAATATACAGGCTCTCTAATTGCTTTGCCGAGCAGGCTCCGCAGATATTTTAGATCCTGCCTGCAAGGAAGAAGGGAACAGCCTGGCAGAGTTGGAGGCTGCAGCAGGCGAGCAAACAGGGACAGCGGTGCCAGGAGATGGAAGGATGTTTGTTTCTACTGCTTGCTTACACTGGCTTTTTTTTTTCCTTGCAGTGAGTTAATTTATTCTTTTAAAGCACACCATATAACAGCTAGCCCTTTTAAAAACGTGCCATTCCATCACAGTGACTTCCAGAGAGAAAGGGAATTAGTGATGCCAAGATCCAGCCAGTGAACACCTAGCACAGAGTCCGTGCTTGCTGGGTTCTCAGTACGTGGTTGTGGATTGAACTGAACTGAGAGTCTGCACAGGATAAATTCCCAACGGGTGAAACTCTAGGAGGAGAGGGGGAGTGGGAACTTGCCAGTCTCCTTGAGTGTATCCCGTTTTCTCTACACAGTTGGAATTCCCAGGGCCAGGAAGGAACTCAAAACCTTTGATGTTGACTGCAAAGCTGTTCATCTTGTGTCAGTCTCAGTTTGGGCTGGGTTAGCAGTTTAGTGCAATACTGGGCGGTCCATGGAGAAATGATGGCCCTAGTGGAAAACAGGATCCTCAAGACAGTACTCACCCCTCTGCAACGGTTTTAGAGACGATAGGGAGGAAAGGGAGAAACTGCTTCATCAAAGGTTATGTTAACTCGAGCAGCTGTTAGGCACCATGTTTGTAGCAGCATTGTTCACGATAACCAAAAGGTGGAAGCAGCCGTGTCCATCAGCAGACGAACGGATGAACAAACTGTGTACCCATACAGTGAACTATTATTCTGCCTTAAAAAAGATGGACATTCTGACATATGCAACAACATAGATGAACCTTGAAAACCTTATGCCAAGTGAAATAAGCCAGACACAAAAGGACAAAGATTGTGTGATACGAAGAACCTACAGTAGTCAAATTCATAGAGATGGAATGTGGTAGCGTGGTGGCAGAAGCTGGGGAGGGAGGAATGGGGAACTAGTATTTAATGGGGACAGAGTTTCCATTGGGAAGATGAAAAAGTTCTCGAGATGGAAAGTGGTGATGGTTGCACAACAATGTGAATGTACTTAATGCCACCAAACTGTACACTTAAAAATGGTTGAAATAGTAAATTGTATATTATGTATATTTTACCACAATTTAAAAAAGGTTACATTAATTAGTGACAGATTGGACTGGGACTCAGGTCCCTTGAGTCCCAGTCCAATGCTGGAATGGGAAGATCTTTGATCTAGGAGTCAGAGAGTGTGGAATCTAGGTCCATGTATTAATGCAAGGTCTTCTGACAAATCACATCAGCCCTTTGAGCCTTAATTCCTGTCTGTGACATGGGCGGGTTGACCAGTACTCCCCTTACACCAGCCTTGCCCACCCAGAGCCCTCCCTCGTCCGCCATGTTCTCCCACTGGACGTGCTAATGAGTCCAGCCTGGTTTCTGCTCTCGAACTTTCTCTCTGTCACAGGTCGTTCAGGCAATGCTGCATACCTAGACTAGACCTTGTAAGGGGAGACGAGGGAAAGAGAAGACGGAAGCTTTAAAGGGACTGTTCACCTCCCCCAAACTTAATTTCACAATTCCCAAAGAGGAAAAAAAATTAATGTGGTTGCTGTTATGAAATTGCTGTGTGTCCTGTTCTTTCATCCCTATGTGGGTGATCACTGACTCCCAGAAATCCTGACAAATAAAGTTGGAGGACACGCTGCGATTTATTTAATTAAGGTAGCGCAGGGGCTGGTTCCATGTCACCCTAGAGTTATGAGGATTTAAGAAATTAATGCTGTCATGAGTACATCTAAGATTTCTTTAATGTTTTGATGCATTACTGAATAACTTAAACATTTTTTAACTAGACTAAATTAAACAAGTGGGAAAAATCCCGGCAAACTAACACAGCCCAAAAAGTACGGGTGAAAAACCAAAGGAGAAGTAGAATGCAGCAAGATTACAATAAACGTCTTTTTAAAATGAGTTAATTTATTTATTCTTTTTTAAAAGTCTTAACTTGTAACATTATTTGGGATCGCAGTAAACATGTATTTTATTTCTTGTGTCAGCCCGAGGTGAGTTTATCTGGAATGCTTATTTTAAATGGATTTAGCCATCATGGAGTTAGATCATCTTGGAAAAATGTGTCCCATCTAAAAATAAAAACAAGGATGACGTTCTGTGTCTTTGAGAGTAACTCAGAAACCACTGTTAATCCCAGTCTTGTTGTGGACTGCCCCGTCAGACGGGCGAGTGCAGTCGACGTGTCTGAGGCGCTTTGTGAGACAAGCAAAACTGGGAGCGTTTGGCAGTGACAGGTCTGCCCCGCACAGGGCTTTATTCTCCTTACTTTACAGGCAGGTGGAATGCAGATCCCGCCTCTCCAGTGGCCTCTCCCCATTTCCAGTGTTCTACCTTCCTGCGCCCTGAGGGAAGGCTTTTCACCTAGCCGGGGTTCCATCCTGTTTGGTTCCCATGACTTTCCCGGTGCATAGCCATTTGTTTTATAGCCATTTGTTTTTTATTTGTCTTTGAGCTCATTACAAAACGCTTTAATCAATTTCCTTTCAACATAATTGCTTTTGCTTTAGCTCGAACGAGATGACAGGAACACAAAAAGACGTTTATTAGGCTTTGAAAGTTGTGCTTTTCCAGAAAATCGTGTGTCCCTTCGCAGTCTGCGTTCCTGCACTCACCACGCGCGGCCTGAGAGCTCTGCAGGTTCCAGGCATCTGGGGGCCGGGAGAAGCGACAGGTGGGCTCCTCCCTGCTTTGGAGGAGGTCTCGGTTTCCTGAGGCGTCTTCCTTCGGTGAGAAGTGTCACTGATGCACTGTTTTCAGGTACACAGAACTCCACCACACTAGTTACTGGTCATCCTCTCGAGGCAGAAGGTGCCGGAGGAAGGGTCTAGTGTTTATTACCCCAGCTGCACACGAAGCATCACCTGAGTTCACCTGCAGGAGCGAGATTTGAACCCACATCTGTCTGGCTGCCAAGTCTGGGTGCTCTCCACGTGGCCGTGCCACCGTTAACCAGCCCTGGTGCTCTAGTGGGTAAGATCGGCGCTGTCACCTCCGCGCCCGGGTTGGTTTACCACCACGTCAGGGAACCGGACCAGCCGTCTGTGGGTTGTCATGCTGTGGCAGCTGCGTGTTGCTGTGATGCTGAAATCTCTGCCACCAGGATAGCAGTGGAACGTCGTCTGATGCAGCATCGGAAGGAGAGCGGATGGGGCAGAAAGACCGGGCAGGGTTCCCTCTGCTTTACCAGGGTGGCTGGGAGTCACAGTCCCCTCGATGGCGCTCACAAGGACCTCTCGCGCCTGTCTCCTCTCGCTCTGTCTCTCCCTCCCCTGCTACCACGGGAAAGGAGCTCAGTGAGACAGAACACCAACCCTAAAGTCAGGCAGACCACAGCCTCTGCTGGGTGACCTTGGGTGACCTCGGACAAGTTATTTAACTTTGCTACATCTCGGGTTCACAGCTCAAAACAGAGATGCTGTTACTTCAGTAGTAACGCGAGCCCATCGTCTAAAGCGCTCTGCCTGGTGTCTGACACAGAGGAAGCTCTCGTTAATGTAACTGCTGTTATCTTTACCGTCTTCTCATCACAAATGCTGTTTCTATCTTACGACTTTTTAAAATGTATCATTTCCTCCCAGGTGCCAGCAGAGTGGATGGGGAGGCAGGGTGGGTCTCAGGAGTCCGTGTTTCTGTGAGCAAAGGGAGGTATCGACATGCGTCTGAGGAATTTCTCATGTGATTGATCCAAAGCGGGTTAGAATCAAAGCTTACGTGATAACTATTTAAAAAAGAAAAAGAAAGGAGCCCCAGTGGATAGTCAGCTTGCATGTGATGTTCCAGAACTTTCCCAGGTCACTACGCAGACTGAGTGCTGGGTAATGTTTGTTGTGTGTCTGAATGAATGGCACTTATCACGTTGTTTTAAAATATTTTCACACTGAGTTCCCTTATCAGACCATGGAATTGCCCGGTCTCTGCTGCCCGACATGTCTTCACGGAGTTGGCAGTCGACAGTTCCCTCTGTGGCTTGTGTAGACTCCTTTCCTATCAGAGACAATTCTCTGAACATAGATTGTGTTGGACGAGGACCCATATCATAGATTGGCGTTAGTTGGGCTACATTTCTCTTTTCTGTAGAACACTCCTTAAGTATTTCTGTCTGGAGACTACTCTGCTATCTTTCTCTCCCTCCCAAGTCTCAGGATTTTCTTCTTAAACTGCCATGCTTCAGGGATTGTCTCGTTCTTCTTCAGATTCTTCCCGTCTCTTTCCACAACTTTGCCCGGTTCTTACATTTCTACTTAAACTGGCTGTCTTGAACGTATATGAAACCCTCCCTTCTCGCCATCTCTGAACCAGTTATTCCAGCGAGCCAGAGATCAACAGAGACAAATATTTATTTCACTCCAAGTAGGTGCCAACTCTGGGCTGGGTAGTCAGGATCCAGTGGTCAACAAGACCTGTCTCGTGGGCTGTACACTCCGGAAACGAAGCGGGTCCAAGGTGGTGACTGTGTCAGTGGTCATTCTGGATGAGAGCCCGGCGTAACCTGCCCGAGGGTGGGCTCTGAAGGCTGAGGGCCCAGCACTTGTCTCATCGGGTCTCACAGTCGGGAAAAAGAAATGGGACCAAGAAACTGCAGCCAGGCACTGTAACAACGTCTGGGGACCGCAGCCTTCAAATGTTTCCCACTGTCATAGCTGGGATTGAATTAGAGGACAAAGTGGGAGAGAAATCTGAGACTGACCCGCAGAATCGCAGATCTGCTGCCAGGCTCCCGGGATGAGGGGCATTTTTTGGAGGCGTAATTAAGCGGTTACCACAAGATTGTAGTCAATTGTAAGTATTTCATACATTACGGATGTTTCTAGAGTGATTGGTTTCATAGAAGGGGATTGTGGCAAATGTATAAAAACATGATCTCTCCCTGTTCCATCTCTGATTTTCCACATGGAACAGACGACCGTCTCATGGTCAGCTCAGGGTATGAAGGTCTGGGAAGATTGGAGGGAGCGTAAACTGCTCCTTACCTGTTCTCTCGGCAGCGCTGGAGAGCGTGTTTCTGGTGATAACTCCTGGGAACTATTTGGTCAGTAAATGCTTCAGCTGTAATTAAAAGGGCATTTCCTTGGTTTTAATTTCTTTTAATTAATTAAAAAATATGTCATCTGGGTACGGGGAGGTATAGTCCCTTCCTAAAAACGGGAAAATACTATTTCCGAGACCAAACAGCAGCGTTTCCCAAAGAGTGTTCTGAAGACCACGGTCCCACTGGGTGACTCGCGGGATGGGGAGGATCGATAGGGAAGTTCTGCTTGCTCCGTCCTCTTGGAGATGCGCCCTGTGCGCTAACCCACTCAAGGCCCTGAGAAGTCCCGTGGTAGAGAAACCTCTTTAACTCAACTTTCCACAAAGTGTTTGCCCTGTGGCACCGACCATGTTACCCTTCCACAGAACACACCGGGGAACGTCGCTGTGGTGGGATTTCTTAGCGTCTGTGGGTGCGTCCCTGTGGGGACTCTGAGCTGACAGGACTTACATCAGGTGGGCCTCACACAGAAGTGGAGGCACCAGCTCAGCACAGACTGTTTGTTGAGTGAAAAGAGCGTGTCGGTGAGTGGAGTGGGGAGAGCATGGGGCTGACAGCGGACGGCCGGGGCGTGGCCTTGGGCTCCACCTCCTGCCTCTGCCACCTCAAGTGAGGGACGCACCCGACAGCTTCTCTGTGGCGCATCAGTGCCGTGACAGCGCCGGCTCTGCTCCTACCTGACCACCAGCGCGCTCTTGGTGCTCTAGAGCCTGGAACCGGCAGGCGCTGCTCCTGTAAAGGCCGTGGAGCGAGTATCCTAGACTTCGTGGACCCCGTGGTCTCTGCCCCTGCAGCGTGGAAGCAGCCACAGACCACACGTGAGTGGACACGTATGGCTGTGTCCCCAGAACATCTTACTTAGAGACACAGTCACCAAGCCAGATTGGCCACAGGCTGTGGTCTGCTGACCCCGGGTCTAGGGTTTGTGGAGGATTGTATATGTATTACCTCTGATTAACCCTGTGGGGCACTGCAGATAACACCTCGATTTGTACCCGAGGAAACTGGGGACACAGATGCTGAGTAGTCTGCTCAGGGCAGTGTAGGTAATAAGTAGGACCGAGGATTGTGCTCTCACTGCCGTGCTAACCTCCCTTCCCCACGACATCACAGAAACAGGTCATAGATGACAAAGGTATGCACAGTTAGGATGTGGTGTTATCTGTGGAAATTCCCTCTGACTTGGGCTGTAGGAGGCACTTCAGGAGGAGGAGTGTGTTTTATACGTTTAGCTCACACTCCCCCGTCCCTCACTCCCACGTCCGAACCACGTCCAGGCCCTGCGTCGAGCACACCGTGTTCTCCACCTTCTCCTCCGTCAGCAGTGACCAGGGCACCACAGTCCAAGAGATCGCCTTTTTCTGGAAATTACAAAATCCACCCGCAGTCTATTAAACATAACAGTGACACTGCAGATGTGCTGACACCTCAGACATTAAAGCGTGGGGATGCCGTAGATATGGGATGGCAGCCGAGGGTTCCAGCAAACCCAGACGTTTCTTAATAAAAAATAACCCCGTGTACATTCACTTATATGTTTCCTCCTAAGTGGAGTGCAACTAGCCCTAGAGGCAAGTTTGAAATTATTTTCATAATTTTAGGTGATTAAGACACTTCCCAAATCTCATTAGCAAAAGCCCAAAATAGAATAATTGCCATATAATTAGTGATTGGCAAACCTTCAGAGGTTTGCAGGGTTTGCTCTTTTCTGAATCTGGAAATACAAGGGCATGACCTGACTTTATCTGAACCCGGGGTGTTTCAGAACCAGACCGCGTTCCTTCCTGTCTCACTTGTTCAGGCCCACCTGATCTGTTCTGCAAACCCCATCTCCTTCTGTGAGTTCCTTGGACACGTTTTGTCATTTTCTGCTTATGTCTTTCTCCCTTGCTGGAGTCCTGCTCCCCACAACTGTTGAGTGTCTTCCCTCTGTGTGTCTAACCTCGGGCACAGGCTGCAGGGGGACGGGACCAGCAGAAGGTGCTGTCTCTGCCCCTTGGGGGCTTCCCATCTGGATGCGGAGCCAGGGCTGCAGGGTGACGGCTCACAGAGGATGGGGCGCAGGTCTTTCAGGTCAGGCTGTCGTGCTCTGAGGTCTGGAGTTGGAGCAGGTGTCTGTGGGTTAAAAAACACCTAGTCGGGCTGGCCCCGTGGCTTAGCGGTTAAGTGCGTGCGCTCCGCTGCTGGCGGCCCGGGTTCAGATCCCGGCGTGCACCGGCGCACCGCTTCTCCGACCATACTGAGGCCAAGTCCCACTTACAGCAACTAGAAGGATGTGCAACTATGACATACAACTATCTACTGGGGCTTTGGGGAGAAAAAAGAAGGACGATTGGCAATAGATGTTAGCTCAGAGCCGGTCTTCCTCAGCAAAAAAGAGGAGGATTGGCATGGATGTTAGCTCAGGGCTGATCTTCCTCACAAAAAAACAAAACAAAACAAAACAAAACACCTAGTCTCCCGCCCTCTGGCCCCACCTGTTTCTACTGGATGCACAGCACATGGTTTCCTAAGTGTCTCATCCCTCCATCTTGTCAGGAGAAAGAGCGTGAGCTCTGAAGTCAGGTGGCTCTGCGTCCAGATCCCAGCTCAGCTGCTTGACTGTGACCCTTAGGTCTTAGCCGCCTTCTTCGTGGGTGACTTGAGACTGTAATACCCACCTTGCAGGCCTCTAGCAGGGATTACAGAGAGGACAAACATGGACGCCTCATAGGTGTTCAATAAGTGGAAGCTGTTGTAATTACCATCCACCTAGCGTTCACTGCACACACACTCACACTGCCTACTTCTTCTCAAGTCTGTCTCCTTCCAGACCATGACCTCCTTGAGAATCAGAGCCGTTCTTGGTCGTCTCTGACACATGGCAGGGCTCAACGTATTTTATTTGTTTAACAAACACCTAACACTTAATGTGTGTCAGGCACCATTCCGTGTTTTACATGTTTTAAGCTTCATGATAATCCCTTGAAGTAGAAAAACTGTTATTCCAGTTATACAGATAGGGAAACTGAGGCACAGGGGAGTTTGCCTGATGAGTGTGGGCACAAGGATTCAAGCCCAGTTGTCTGGATCCAGAGTCCATGCTCTTCCCCATCATGGCTGCTATCAGGTAGACTGGGTGGCCGAGCCCACCAGCTCTGTTTCCAAGATTCCTGCTCCATGGGCCCCAGAGGGTCACTTTGTGAACAAGTCAGAGGATTCTCCCATGAGGCCAGATTCCCTCTGTCTGCCTCGTGCGCTGCTCTTGATCTCTTGATGCTGAGGTGGCAAGTCAAGATGGAGCTGAGCCCCAGGCCTGAATTTCAACGCAGGATCTTAGAGGTGGTTGAATGAAGAGGGAAGGTTGCTCCTAGGTCAGCTGGTAGGGGAAGGCTGGAGACTAGATTCGGGCTAGAATTCACATAAGTCTTGATCCAGAAGAGCCCCAGATCATGTAACTACGCGTGGATAACAAGGCAGGTTCTATTCCCTGCAGTGAAGGGACTTAGTCAGAAACACGCCAGCAGGCCCTTCCAAGCCCGCTCACCGTTCCAGGGTTGGAATTTGCTGAAGAAAAGAGAAACTTTCAGGTGTCACTTAAGAGAAAGCGGCAAAAAAGGGAATCCATCTCCCAGTCCTTGTTTGAGCTTCCGTCTCATCTAAGTGAGGAGTTGATCATTTGCAAAGGTGTGTGATCAGTTTGATAGTCACAGAAAAGCTTGCATGAGCAGAGAAAGGACCACACCAAAGCAAACAAGAGGTGGTAAAAAGAAAATCCCCTCTAGTTGTGGGCGGGTGGGGCTGCGTTTGGGCCCTGGTTTTTACTGCATCCCAGCTCTGCCAGCACAGCATCTCCGAGGTAGGCCTGCTGATGACAATACCTATTAAAGTTAATTTCCTCATAGAGGCCACTTAATCTAATTGTTGTTTCAGTTTATCTCACTGCTAGTTTCCTTCAGCTTAAATAGAGGGAGCTCTCTGCACCCCCACGGCCAGCCCGGGCGGTCGCAGAGAGGAGATGTCCATCGTGGCCTTGACCATCCAGGGATGACCGTCATGGCCACACTCTCAAGGCTGGAGGTGACGTCTTCATTTACTGCTGGAACCTAGATGTTGCCTGATTTGGAAAATATAGTGCTCACCTTAAAAGTCTAAAGGTACGTTGACTTGTGAAGTGAGAAATCTCTTTCTGTTACTCAGCAGAGGCCCAAATCCACACAGATCTTAACAGAAAGATGTGAGCCCACCGGGGTCCAGAGTGACTCCAGGATTCCCAAGCCATACATCCTCGTTTGTTGTCGGAAGAACTAATACAGACACAGACTGAAAGATCAGAGCAGGAGAGCAAAATTTCCCGGTAACCATGGCAAACGTGGGGTTTATGATGCGCCGGGCCCTGCTGGAGGTGTTTCACACACGGGAACCTGTGAGGCAGGTGTGGTCGTCTCTGCATTTCTGCAGACGAGGGAGCGGATGCACAGAGAGGTGAAGTGCGTTGACCACCAGGATTTGAACCAGCGAAGTCTGCCGGGGAGCCAGCTCTCACCAGAACGCCCGTGCTTCTCAGACTCTGGTCCCAGGGCCCACCCACCAGCAGTACCAGGGACTTTGTTAGAAAATGCACATTCTCAGGCCCCCTGGACCTGCTGAGCTGTGGGATGGGCCCTGCAGGTGATCTGATGCTCTCCAAAGTCTGAGAACAATGCTCTGTCCCAGCATGTGACCTCACAGTCCATAAATACTTGTCAAGTGTCTAATAAGGGGCAGGCGTTGGAGATTCAGCGAAGACAGTGCCACCCCTCCAGGAGCGTACGGCTTGGAGAGTGAGACAGACATGAAGAAACACCGTGATTCGTACACAGACCCCACGCTGTCGTCTCAGGTCAGCAGATGGCGTCGTCAGTTAGTGGGAAACGTGCTCACCTCGGCCGCTGCCGCTGATGGCGGAGGAAGGGACAGCCATCAGAGGAGTCGGGGACTTACCTCAGGTGACACGGCTGCGATCATTCCACGGCAGGCAGAAGGCCCGGCCTCTTGGTGCCTTACCACCATGTCTTTCTGCTGTGCGACGCTGGGCATGCGTTCCAAGCTCCTCTGTTCTGTGTCTTGTTGGGAAAACCGTGAGGTTTGTAGACAGCTGAGCCGAGACCAGGCCCCCACCCCGCACTTGCAGGCTCATCCTACGTGGGTGAACGTGGGATGTGACGGTTGTGGGTGGAGGCAGAGTGGAAATGCACCCCTGGCTACCTCTGGCTCATGGAACCTGGAGACTGCAGTCCAGGGAAGAGAGGAATGTGGGCGGTCAGCCTTCATCGGCCGGCCAGCTGTCACTGCCCTCGCAGAGCTTCCTGTTCATCTTCGTGAAGGTTTCAGGACGTACATTCCCTGTCTTTCTCCCTGTGGTACACTTAGCCGGAATCCTCAGAAGCAGCACTAAGTTTGCGTGTAATGTCAGGTATTCTTCCAAATGCAGAGCCACTGTCACTGAATGTCACTGCACTGCTGGTTCCAAGTTTTCTGTTTTAGGGAGAGCCAGCAAAAATCTGACTCCTAGAAATTTCCAGTTGTTGAAAAAGTCTAAACCACTTTTGATTCTGTTCACTAAAAAGCTTTGAGAAGCAGGTAAAGGATTGGCTAGGGGCTCTGCCATTTCATGCAGGAGACGGTGCATCATCAGACAGAGCGAGGTGACTGGAGGAGAGCAGGGACACAAATTCTGGTTCCCTCACCCTCTAAAACACCAGCACCAACCAGGAAGGAAGCGGAAATGTGTTCTTTGCAGAATTGATGGCTCAGAAAGCCTTCCAACAAGAGCCCCTGGGAACTGAAGCTCTGCTGACTGCCTGACTCGTGGGGTGACAGGCGCTGCTGGCCCCACGGGAACCTGGGCAGCAGACCTGAAGGAGAAATGGAAATGCTGAAGCTGTGGGCCCTGGAGGCACGCAGTCTGGGTCCCCACTTTGACAGTCCAGTGTAGTGACCCTAGTCCAGCGACTGAAACCCTGTAGCCCTCGCTCACTGATCACCTGTAAACGGAGAAACAACAGTTCCATCTCGCAGGGTGGTTGGGAGGCTGAAGGGGCCAGTGTATGGAAAGCGCCTGCAGGTGACTGTGTAATTGTCCTGGTCGTGGTGGAGAAACAAGGACCAGGTCGAATTCTGATACTCACTGAGAGCTTCCCACGGGCCAGGCCCCGACCTAAGCATTTCACAGGCTTAAGTTTATTTACTCATCACTGTTACTACTGGAGGTAGATTGTGTAATCTCCATACACTCTGACAACAGGAAGACTTAAAAAGTGTTGTTTTTAAGCAGAACCAGAAATATACCTGGGCTTGTAATATGAAAATCGTGATTTCAGTTTTAAGAATCTCAGCATCTTTAAGGAAAACTGTTGTTCCGGAAAGATAAATCAGGATGATCTGTGGATTTGGGTGTTCCCAGCATAGAACCATGCCCCCGGGGACGGGCACACACCTGTTTGAGAAGTACAGCCCTGCCTTCCGTTGTTGCCTCTCCTCTCTGTTCAGGGTCCTGTAGCTGAGCTGGCGATGATAAAGGGGGAAGGCCAGGCAGGGAAAAGCCCCGTGACCTTGTCTCTTCCCTTCCCCTGCAGTGGAGCTGGGGGCCCCAGAGGAATCTCCATCTGCTCCCTCCCACCCCTGCCAACTCCAGGCCCCCGTTTTCCTCTTCAGCTCTCCATCAGCACAGCACCACTGTGAAAGGCAGGATAATGGCCCCCCAAAGAAGTCCACATCATAATCCTACATCGAAACCTGTGGCTGTTACCTTACGTAGCAAAATCAGTTTTGCAGATGTGATTGTATTGAGGACCTTGAGATGGGGAGATTATCCTGGATTATCTCCGAGGGCCCATCTTAATCACAGGGGTCCTTAGAAGAGAGGCAGGAGGTCGAGGTGCGATAAGACGTGACGACAGGAGCAGAGGTCAGATGATGAAGGGCCAGCAGCCAAGGAATGTGGCGGCCCCGGAAGCTGGAAAAGGCAAAGAAGTGGACTCCCCCTAGAGTTTCCAGAAGGACCCAGCCCTGCCAGTACCTTGATTTCAGTCGCGAGACGGATTTTGGACTTCTGACTTCCAGAACTGCGAGAGAATAAATCTACGATGTTTGAAGCCACTGCGTCTTCGGTAATCTGTTACCGCAGCAAGAGGAGACCGATACACCGGCGTGGAGTCAGCTGGTCCCTAGTGTGGTGGAATCTTTCCTCAGTCTTCGGTGAATAAAGACTCCTTGTTAGACCGCGTCTTTCTCCGTTGCAGAAGAGGGAGACTTATAACCCTGGGAAATGTCCAGATGCAGCTTCTGAAGACTCGGGGGCTGGGATGTGAGAGTGGGACTAACATGAGGAAAGAAGGGGCCTGGGGGGCCTGGGCCTGCCTACTGGATGGCGTTTCCTCAAGGACTTGAAAGGGGCCGGCCCTCCTGGGTTTATTTTGCATGGTAGGTAAACACGGGTCTCGGTGTGACTTTGGAAATCGCTCACCTCTCTCTGCCTTGGTTTCCACATCCATAAAACAAGGTTAATCTCAGCCTCCAGCTCAGAGGGATGCTGTGGGCATTAAATGATTTCATGTGTGGAAAGTGCTCAGAACATTCCTGCCACATTGTGAGCTGTTAACAGGCCTTAGAGAGAGAAGGGGGCAGGGTGCAACCATCCACATGTGTGGAGCCTGTTCAGCTGTATCAGGTGAAACGTGCTTCTCTTCTGCAGGCTGCTCAGAGCCTGGGCTGTGCTAGTGCTCACTGACACCCCGACCTGGAGGGAGACGCAATAGCATCTCTCAGACTCATTGAACTGTAGAGCCCACTGTGATCAGAGCAATCCCAGCAGATGGATGGTGGACACAGGGTGGGCATACTGCCCTGCAGAGTCACACCGGGAAGCCTCGGTTCACCCCTGTCCACCTCGCAGTCTCTGCCCCTGGCCCCAGAGCCACCGCTGAACCAGAGATTAGGGGCTCCGTCCCACCAAGGCAAGGAGCGATGGGTACCCAGCATCCAGAGCTGAAAAGCAGGCCTTTTTCCAAGTTCACGTTGTTCTGGGCAGTGTGGAGCTCTGGCGCTGTCCTTGTCACTGTATGTTAGTTATCACATGACTCCGCGTGGCTCCTGGGACTTGCCTGGGAACCTGGCATTGATTCCACACCACCACACTTGACAGCTTCCAACCAGGAACAGCTTGGAACAGTCAGTTCACGATTTGGGGACCAATGAGCTCAGCTTCAAAGAAGTACTGTTAATTTGTGAGCAAACAGCCTAGCACTTCTGCACAGACATGGTGGTTGCCCTGCTCAGAGGCTGCAGTTCTCCAGGAGGAGTTGTGTGAGCACTGTGTAGGAGGGAAGGAGATCATTCAGCTCATCCCGGGGCATATGTTTAAAAAAAACAAAACAAAACACTATAGTGTCAACAAAACCCACTGTAGTGTCATCACTTTACGTAGGCACACCGTGTATAAACAGAAGAAATCTAATTTCTGGGGGATTTCGTTTCAAGAAATCAGGCCTGGCTCACGTAAAGATACCATTCAGAATAGAAATATAACACATTTAGTTGAGCTCAGGCTTTTTTGTTTTGTTTTGAAAGCTACAAGGAAGTAAACTATAACCCTCTTTATTTTTAGCAGACACCTCTAAAAAACCTTGAACAGTGTTCTATTTATAAAACAAAGAGTCTGTTTTCACACAAACTTGCTTAGTCTCTTATTAGAGAAAGAGCAGGACCGAGTATCAGAAAAATGAAATGTTTCTTTTTCAAAATTTCTTGAATTCATCAGCAATTCTTTAAGAAACAACAAAACAATTAACCTGGTTATATTTTTGACTGATGGGAGGTCACCTGGAGATTGATAAATTGTGCTTGATATTCTGACCGAGTAGATTGGAACCGAATGAGTAACATGCTGGGGGGAGGGGAATGTGAAAGGAGAGTACCGTCTGGCTTTCATAGAGTTGTGCCGCTGAGTGAGAGACAGCAGACCGAAATACTTCTCCGGTTAAATTATTTCACCATCATGTTCTATAGAACATTTATAATTTCATCACATTTATAATTTCATCATTCTTCAAGGCAATAAAAAAGGAAGATGAAAGCTTGGTTGAGTAAATTCGTGGGCTGTAAAAGATCTAGAAATGGAGGGAGGTGAACCAGTGCATCTTAGAAGGTAGTGCTGGGAGCAGGTGGGTCCCACCCTCGGCTTTGTCTTCCTGGTCAGTTATATCATGCTGTTTCTCTAATTTTTACAATCTTAATAATAAATTCAACATTTATTTAATGCTTATTAAGTGCAAAGAACCCCGCTAAGAACTGTACATAGATTATTTAATTTTCTCAACAGTGTTTCAATGAAGTAGACACTATAATTATCCCCATTTTACAGATGGGTAAGCTGAGACTGAGAGGTGCAGCGGGGATGTTAGCGCTGGTCTGGACACAGGTCTGACCCCAGAGCCAGGCTGTTAAAACTACCCGGTTCCTCTCTGAGCCAACAGTGCGCACCTGCTCAGAGCCAGAGGCTCACTGCCCTCGGGTCACATGCTGATCTCCACTCTCCCTTTTTATGGTAGAATTCCAAGAAAGCTTGGGAATCCGAGGAAAAACCCACACGACTCCTGACCCCTTGACCAAAAGAATAACTTGCTTGTTTTTTTTCACATTTTCCTCAGTCATTGCTCATCCCAGGAAAGCCTAGGCGTGGCCTCCTTCAGGTGCCATCTCACTTGGTAGATATTTCCATTTGCACACACAGTTGTTTGTTTACCCAGCTGTCTCCCCGTTTCCTTTCATTTCCAGTTCAGTCTGCCTTTAGTGCCGAGTCTGGTGCGTAGCAGTCACTCAGTAAGTGTGATGAGTAGGTGAGAGAACGTGCCTCCATTCAGATTGTGCATAGATTCCCTGCACTGTGAGCTGACTTTTTCAAGCAATATTATGTCTTAAGACTTTTCTGTGTTGCTACCTAGTCTTCATAATTAGTGCTTGCAAAATATACATTTTATCGGACATTCCAATAATGGTGATTTTCTTAACCATTCTTATTTTTATGCAGAGTTTAGGATATACTTGTTTCCAATACCTTGCTCTTATAAATAACACTGGAGTGAACAACTCTGTGCATAGCATTTTTGCTTACTTTTGGATTATTTCATTAGGATAGAATCCCTAAACAGGGATTTCTGAATCATGGTGGGAACATTTGTGTACCTGGGACAGTGTTGTCCATATAAATATAACCTGAACTGCATGTGTAATTTTAAATATGCCTCATTAAAAAATGAAAAAAGGTAAAATTCATTTTAACAATATATTTTATTTAACCCAATATCTCCGGAATATTATCATTTAAACGTGTAATCAATGTAAAAGTTAAGATATTTTTACATTCTTTTTTTGTATAAAGTATCCAAAATCCAGTGTGCGTTCCAGGTTTGTGGTGCACCTCGATTCAGACCAGCCACCGTTCAGGTGCTCAGGAGCTCATGGTGATACCGTAGTTGGTGGCACAGGCCTATGGGACACGTATTCCAGGGTTTTTAAGTCGCCTTTGTTTTTTAAAAACTGGAACCTTCATCTGTCCTGAGCCCTCCACCTCCCCTCTCACCCATCACCTGGACCCCTCCGTGGGCGTTCATTCCAGATGCTCCCGCTTTTTCCGTTAGGATCTTTTCTTGACGTCTGTTATGTATCAGGCACTGTGCTAGGTCTTGGGGACCCCACTATAAATAGGACGTGGCTCACTGTCGGCTGGGGAAACAGACATTCTCGTGACACAGGTGTGACTCAAATGCTTGCTGGAATGAGGTGGGAAATAAGCAAAAACACAAACAGGCCAGTGATGGTGCAGAGTTTGGGAAAGTCCACAAGTGACGATTAGACAGAGTGCTCAGGGGATGGGGAAGGCTTCTTGGGGAAAATGTGGGCTGAGCCTCAGTGCAGTTTTAATGGGCAGAGATACGAGAGAACAGTTCTGCCTGCGATGGTCTCCTTACCCCAACCAGATGGCAGGTGGGAGGGTCTCGCCTTGCGTTTAGAGCTCCCTGGAGCGCCTGCTGCGGCCTTGCAGGGAAAGGTGCTCCATCATGTTTGCGGAGCCCGATTAATAATATAGGGTTGGCTGGCCTGCAGGGAGGCGACACCAGGTCTGTGCCCACTCTCACCTCTGCATGGAACGGGCAGCTTAAGTTTTCCCTCCATCCTCGGATTGTGTGCACTGCCGGTTTGAAGTCATGGTTTTCTCACTTTACGAAATCGATCTGGGCTGAAACTAGTCGTGTACAGCCAAAATGGTGGATGAATGGAGGCCAACACTTTAACTTTCATCTGACCTGCTTGTCACTTATTCCAGTTCCTCCGAGCTTATCAAACAGCACCAGCAGGCCGGTGACTTGGGAACGAGAAGACGCTTTCCTTTGGTTACCACTCGCTCAGAAGGGCCTTTGTTTGACAGCCTTTCGAGGTTCACAGGCCTTGCCTTCCCCACCGCACCGCCAAGGAAGCAGACAAGCAGTTAGGTTACTCGCTCCAGGTTACACAGCACCTGAGTTGGAGCAGCCGGGTCTCCTGGCTCCAGGTCGGGCCTTCCCGTTGTCCGGAGCTGGTCCACCTGGATCTGAAGACCATCACTTGTTGCTTTGAGATGGATCCACTCAATTCTTTGGGGTCTACGTTCTAGATCTGAGAAATGGAGGGAAGTACGCTTTGTGGGGATGTGAAGAAGATACGTTAGGGAGCAAAAACCAAAGAGTTGGTGATTGAGTATTTATAGTGATATTAATAACATCCATAATGACGATGACAAGAGTAACGTCTAATTCTTAATAAATTCCTAATCTAAGTCAGACACTCTGCTGAACGCCTTACATACATTCTCACATTCAGTCCTCACAGCAGACCTGTGTGCTCGGTGGTGTTATCTCCGCTTTATAGTCGAGAAAACTGAGATCAGACGATGGGCTTGCCCAAGGTCCCAGAGCAGTCGGAATTTGCACCCAGATCTGTCGAACTTTTAACCCTGCGTACGTAATCACTGGACTGCAAATTTAGGTTCATGCCACCTCAGCTGTGGGTGACCTTGGGCAAGTTACTAAAATTCCTGTTTCTGTACTCCATTTTCTCTAAACTTAATACCTGCCTGCTTCTTGGGGTACCGCGAACTAATAAATGTGAGAGCGATTTGTAATAAGTACAGTCCTCTGCAGCTATATAACATTATCTACATTTAAACTGAAATTCCTCAGTGAAGTGACAGCTGAACCACCATCAACACGCTGTGCCCGGCACAGAGCAGCTGCCTCAGTAAACGTGTCTGGGATATATAGTGAATATTGAGTTACTCGAAGGAATAAAAGACTTCTACTGCTGCCAAAGACGCCTTTCCATCCCCAGAATGGTGGTGGGAGAGGAGAGGAAGCAGACAAGCCCTACGTCAACTTCCTGAGCAGAAGTCCCCCAAAGCCACCAGGCTCTTCACCCCCTGGAGGAAGCTGCTCTGCAGGCAGAGTAGCGTCTAAGCGGATAATGAGTCCTCCACATCTCCATCCACCCTCAGCTTGCATTTCGCTGTATGGAGATTTTTATGCTAAATAACTTTTTCTTTCCAAATAATACATAGTCAGTATAGAAAAAGTAGAAAGTAATAGACAAAAAGAAAGAAGGAAAAACATCACCCCTGCTCCTTCCCCCCACCCCCAAGATACCCATTCAGCATGTTGGTCTGTTTCTTTTTTCTAAGCATGTTGTATATGAGTTCATACTGATCTGCAGACTAATACTCTGCTTTCCACTGACCACCGAGGAATACACATTTCCTCATGAAGCCGCAGACTCTTCGTGAACGCGCATTCCCCACGCAGCTGACGAGTGCGGCAGCGTCTGCTCTGTGCCGGGCGCAGCACAGGGTGGTGAGCCGGGTGAAGGCGTCGAGCTCCCAGCCTCCCTCGATGTGTTTCAGAGCTCACAGTGCTCTCTTGTCCACTCACCACTTCCTCTCTTTGGGTCGATTTTTTGGGTGGCAGCGTTCTTCCCAGCCCCGTTCTCCCGGCTCTATCCCCCTGGTGCCCTAGAATATGGAATAGTATAAAAGGAAACCGACGTGAGCAACATAAGTGTGCAACCACACACACTCACACGGACACATTCCACAGTAAACGTAATGAAACGTTGCGTTAGCCTCTGTTTGGGGGCAGAGGTCTCCTCAGTCCATCCCTACCTGTTAACGTCAATTCCTGAGAGTTCACTATATAACAAAACAAACTCTAGCTGATCCTGAGGCCACCTTCCCTCTTTTTCTTACCCTTTTGGGAAATCTGTGTTAGAAAGACGCTGTCTAGCTGCTGAGTCTCTGTGAGGTGTCTTCGGGCAGGCGAGGGGACGAGGGCGGTACAGCTGCTCTGTGGAGGCCCCTCAGGACTTGGCAGCCTTCCCGCCTGCTCCCCATCCTGTCCGTCCTGTGCCTGGAGCCAGCCAGGCATTGACACACACCGCCCTCTCAGGCTCCGTCACTGGTAGGTTGTGGTTTTGTGTTTCGTGGGCCTGTTTTCAGCTGCAGAGCCCTATTAAGGAGTGTGCAGGAGGAAATGGAAGGACACCACCCCCTGAAAGTCCTGACAGAAACGTCCAGGTCACCTCCTGGCCTGAGGGCCAGGCTTCACCTGGAATTGCTGGATTAATTCTCAGATCATGCTGATGTTCCCCAAGTTCCTGAGACATTAGGCTACTTAGAAATGGAGGCCAGGGGCCGGCCCAGTGGCGTGGTGATTAAGTTCGTGCATTCTGCTTCGGTGACCCAGCGTTCACCTGTTCGGATCGTGGGTGTGGACCTACTCACTGCTCATGAGGCCTTGCTGTGGCAGCATCCCACATGCAAAATAGAGGAAGATGGGCACAGGTGTTAGCTCAGCGAAATCTTCCTTAAGAGAAAAATATATATATATTTTACCACAATAAAAAATACTGCCAAAGAAAAAAAGAGGAATGCTGCTTTTCTTCTCTACTTCTCTCCATCCACCTAGCCTTCTGTTTCTTCGTGCCTGGACGAGGGTGCTGTGATGTCCCTCTCTGAGGCGTTCCCCCTGCTGGGGTTTGATATCAATACAGACCCCATCAGGGGCTGCTCTGTTCGGGGCCCGTCCTCTGGTCAGGGCACCCTGCTACCGTGTCCGCTGATTTCCTGGGCCATAGAACAAAGGGCCACTTCGGGAAGCACCAGGGCCTGTCCCAAATGCACTTCACCTGCCCACCACAGCAGAAGTCCTGCCACGGCCATTCCTCTGCCCATCAAGCTCTCTGCTTGGTGGACGGGTATCATCCCCCTGGCAGCCCGATGGGACGGGAACGGAGTGAAAGTCTTCCTCTTCCTGCCGTGAACTTGTTGATGAGATAAAGGCAGGTAAGCTTGGGAGAGCCGCGAAGACACTGTTATTTTTAATAATTCAGGGCACACCAAGTTCAAAAACAGGTCACAGTGATTTTTTTCCCTCGGTTCGTAAAGCAAACTCTGCTTACACCATTCCCTTTCCAGCAGGGGAAAGGAAAATGGGTGAGAGAGGCTTCGTTCTGACACTTGTTCCTAATTAGTTACAAAAAGGGCCACGGCTGGCAAGTATGTAAAGATGGCATGGCCTACTGCCCTGGTTTACGGCCCTGTTCATGGCTCATGGGCCTCAGGTCACCACCTCAGTGTGATCTGTACCTATCCAGTCCACGGCACCCAGACCACGTTATTCACCCAGGCCTGCCGTTTATCAGAACAGTATCTCTTTATCAGAACAGTGTCTCTTCTCATCCCGAGGACGTGGTCATGAAAGACCAAGTCCCGAAGTCACAGTGAAGAGAGGGCCTGGACAGCTGTGCAGAGCAGCCGGCAGGCCGTCACAGGCAGCTGGGCCGAGTCCGGGCGGGCAGGCTCCCGAGCAGCTGCATGGGGAGAACCTCGCCCTGAAGTTGAGCTGTTCCTCCTTCTCCTCACGAGGTCAGTTGGTCTGTGTGTCACTTTGCTGCATGAGGTGTGAGGTTCCCTGTGGCTAATGCAAGGCGTCTTTTTAATTGCATGCAAGAGTAACTTCCAGGCTGCCGGGTGGAGTGACTTGGTGGGAGAAGGCTGGCTTCCTAAACAAACTCCAGAGCTAAGAGGAGGAGAGGAGGCGAGGAGGGGAGCACCAGGTGTCTGCCTTTGAACTGGGTGTTGAGGATGACACAGCTGGTGCAGGGAAGCTGCAGCTCTGACTGACAGAAGCCCTGCAGTCAGGAGGGCTGAGCTGTCAGGGGGCTGGAGACCGGGAGGCAGCGTGACAGCTTCATGGCACGGGAACGCCGGGGGGAAATTAGCTCCTCCTGGGCCTGGTGTGATGCGGGTGGAGGGGGCCGATGGTGTCTCAGAGGAAGGGTACACTTCCGATGAGCCACCATTTAGAAAAGACACCGCCTGTGGAAAGTGCCCCTGGTTTCTGAGTTTTGCATAATGGAAGTGCCCTCGGCAGTGATGGCATGAATTAGTAGCTTGCCAATCCCTCCAGTGAACCTCTCTGAGCCCTGTATTATTACTATTCCAAGGACCCAGAGTAACCCCCTCCCTCGAACTTCCCCCATGTAAGATCCCGTCAGAGTCTAGCCACCCCTACTAGCCGGCTCAGCAGCCCTGACCAACCGTGAGGCCCTGTACTTCCTCCTTCCACACCTCCTCTGTCTAGGTGAGAGGAGCCAGCGAGCGCCTTCCTGAAAAACTTCCACTCAGAAGTGAGCGGAGGAAGTCCCTTTTAGTAAGTAATCAGCTGAGGAAGTCAGGCTCCATCCAGCCGTCTAGTGATGCCGCCTGGTCACTGGGGACTTTTCCAGAGTCTGGAGCAGGAGGGTCTGTGATCTGGTGAGCCCTAGCTTGGGGGGTTCTGGAGAGAGGAAGTAACACAGGCAGCTCACGTGGTGGGGAGCTCAGGTGTGTATACATGTGTGTATACCTGCCCGTATGTTGCTACTATATAGCAATTAAAAGCTGCACATTAACACTTTGTGCCAGTACTCTGCCAAAAGTTTTACATACATGATCTCACCGTACCCACACTGGCAGATATTGTTTCTGTTTGAAAGATGAGGAGACTGAGGCTCCGAGATGCTAGTAAGTAGCAGACCTGGGAGTTGAACATGGGTCTGTTTGACTCCATGATCCATGCTCGTACCCACTGCCTCCAGAAGAGCGGCCAGCTTCACAGAGCCCCAGGTCCTCACAGCTCTGAGTGGCCCGGCCAACGGCCCGGCTCTGCGCCCTTGCCCCGTCCCCTTCGCAGCTTCCGTTCAGGATCCCAGTGGAGCCCGCCCCGGCTTCCGAGCCTTGCTCTTTGCAGGAGGCGCCCAGGAGCCTATCAGTGAGAATCCCGAGGCTTCCTGATGCAGCCTGCCGGGGCCCCGTCTGGCCATGGAGAATTTGTGGACACCGACCAGCACCAGGCTGTGGACCTGAGGAGCCGTCACAACAGAACAAGTACCAACTTCCCTGTTCAAATCCTGCCTTCCCGGGGCGCGCCCGGCCCCCACTGCGTCGGCAGGGGACAACAGCCGTCACCTGTCCAGACCTGGGGTGTACCATCCGGCAGCTCCCTTCTGCCCGCTCCGCAGCGTGTGACCTGCAAACACAGGTGACCTTCGCGGTGGCTCTGTCCCACCCTGCGTCCGCAGAGAAGACCTGTCTGCACGACTTTGTTTGGAACGTGCTCTGCCTGTGTTAACTCCCGAGCGCCTGCCCCTGGACCTTCAGCCCAGAGAGGCCGGGGCCTCTATTTCTGAGATCAAGGGGAGGCGCCTTGAAAGCAGCCCCAGCTTCCATCCATCTGAGGCTTCAGGCAGCTGAAGGGCCCCCTCCTGCAGGGTCTCTCATCCCTCCTCGGCGGGGTCACGGCTCCGACCGGCCCACTGTGTGTGATAGGGTGCTGTGTGGAACGGTTTCTGACAAGTTGGTTCCCATGTGGTGTCTCTTGGTCACAGCTAATTATTAAGTCCTTGGCCGAGGCAGCAGACATTGTTCCCCTGGATTCCGCCCTCCCGCCTCCCCTCGCCCCCATGGCTACAGAACAAAACCCATTGTGGGCTCTGGAGGCTGGCTCTGCACGGACTTCCAGGCAACCCCTGATGGGCTCACTGCTGGGGTTTCGTGTTTCGGCTGAAACTCAACTGGATATAGCATTATTCACTGATGCTGATGCGTTCGGTCTCTGCTCTTTGGGGTTACTTCCCCCACACTGGGCCGGGTCCCTTATAGGCAATTGAGGTAAATTCACCGAGAGCAGTTCACAGCTTTTACTCAGCACATGACTAGTCTGCACAGAATTATAGAATGTTAGGATTTCCAGATACAGAGAGATCATCAAGGGCCGGGTTTTGCCAGCTGTGCTCAGAGGTGTGGGTCAGAAGGCAGGAGCGGCTGAGGGAGTGAGCAGGGTCGGAGCGCCTCCGCCCAGTGCCCCCGCAGGAGCGCTCCTGTGTGCTCCTACTCTGGGTGCGGAGCTTCGTCGTAAGATTTCTGTAACCCAGAAGCAATCCTGGAATCAGTGATCGAGTCCACCCACTCACGCATTTCTCAGATGAGGGACCTGGCCCACTGAGGGTCCTTGTCTATCTAAGGTCTATATGAGTTAGTGAATTGATGCCACCATGAGAATTAGCACACGGGTCTCCCACTTCTCTGTGACCCATTTATTGCGCCGTGCTGGGATAGTTCTGAAACCCACCACTGAGCTGCCTTTCTCATTGCCTGGCCACTGTCTAGTGGAAAAGGCCTTATCTGGAGGAGCCAGAGGAGCGGAAAGCCCTCACAACACTGTCGAGGTCACACTGCATCTTTCCCAAGGGCCAGCTGGATCACACACGCCATGGCACCCTCTGGAGGTGTGCGGTGCACAGCCTAAGAGACCTCGCGGGGCAGCCCGGTTTTCAGCTAGTGTATGTGAGAGCCAGAATCAGAACTGGGCCAGGAGGTTTTAGTTCAGCAAAGAGAGAGCACAGTCTCTGGAGCCAGCAGATCTGGGTTCAAATCCTGGTTCTGCCACTTCCCAGTCCTGGGAACGTGAACAAGGGAGTTGACAGCACTGATCTTCAGGCCTTTTATCTAAAATCAGAGCTGATGACGTCTAACGCAAGGATTGGCAAGAGGAATTAAATGTAATAGTCCCTGTAAAACCCTGTGTAAAGCATATCAAGGGCTTGTCAAACATCCCTTTCCTACAACTCAACCCCTCTGTCTCTCATACACGTCCAGGTTTGAGTCAAAATAAAACGCCAAACGTTTTTAAAGTTTACCCATAACTTGGAAACTTCTGGATTTTGTCACAAGCTTAACGTTAACCAAATGAAATTTGTGGTGTCTGTAGACCACAAGCCTGTCTGAATCTTTCACAGAGCTCTTATAAAACTGAGTGTTTCCTGGGGGAACAGGGCTGTGGGTTCCCAGAGAAAATTCTGAGGGAAAACTGGGAAGACTCTGGAAGAATTCAGTCCTGTTCCTTTGACTTGGAAGCCCTGGGATGTCCTGGGGGTTCAGAGGCCGACGGCCGCAGACACTCTGGCAGTGCAGTCAGACCCCTCATTGTCCCGCTCCTTGGGTGTACTTGGGACACTGTCAAACCCTCCTTTCTTCGCCGTTCAAGCAGGAACCATAGGCCCAGAAGCTTGTTTTCAAAATCTAGGAAAACAGATGTTTTTGCTTATTTTTCTCTCTCATGCTGTGATGCTCACTGAGTTTTCATGGGGTTCTGAACTTGCCAATTTTTTTTTTCTTTTTACTTTTAAGACAAGTCTTGGAAAAGAGTCATTGTAAGATGAGGGGGACAGTTGGGCATCCCAGACTGGGAAGGCTCTATTTTAGACTGTAATGAAAATATCTA